ATCATTTCCACGTTAACGTGATTCTGCATAGTCACATGCATTTATGAATTATAATGATAAGCATTTTAATCCCTGTGATTCATTTGATTTATTGTGTGGATTCATGAGTGCCAAACATCCTTACATAAAGATATCACACAGCACATACTGAATGCTGCCAGTAATTCATATGGGGGAAGAGTCAAATTGTTCTTTTCAATCTTGAAAATAACCGCAGCAACTTACTAAACCATATCCAGGAGGGCCAACCTTATTATGTCACCATTACACATGAAAATAAATCTCAAGGCCTGCCAAAGAGTTCAAAATATGCCCTTTTCTGTTATGGGATACTCTAAATCATCTCACAAGGTTTTATTCTCTGGCCTACAAGAATTTAACTCAAGAGCTCAAGCTGGGAAGAGCAATTGTTAGAGCTGAAAGTATTTGTTTCAAAGCACTGTGGAAGTAAATGAATGTGTCATTTTGTGCTAATGTGATAGGCAGCTACTCTGCCTTGTCAGAACAAGCTAAAGTCCGGTAAGTCTTATCCCATTGCCACAGGCACTTGGGCACCTTTCTGAAAATCAATCACAGACTGGCCTGAAGAAGAGCAGAGCTGGAACAATGGCACCAGAGTAGAGAACTCTTAATGAAAGCCATTTGCTAGTCCACACCTAGGCTGTCTAGACAGCACCTCCTGTGCTTTGATCACTGATAAAACATTCTAAATGTTACCAGCGCCCCTTTTTGTTTACAGGCAATCAGTGGGCCTCTGGCCATTGCCTGTATTTCAAAGCAGTGCTTTTCATCTGACTGCAATCAAATCACAAGGAAGAAAGGGATGGCCATTTTGGATATGAGATACTTATTTTCCTGTGATTTATAGAACTCCAAATTAAGAGAGAAAACAAAAAGCAATTGCAAATGTACATGTTATAAATCTTTCTAATCAGGGTTGTCCTCTAAATCAATCTGAAAATAGATACAGACCCTGTTTGAAGTAGAGCTGTGCAAAGTGTGTGACCCAAACAAGTAACATTAGCTTTGGTTTCAGGGCAAACCAGCAGCACAATTTTTCAGTGCAATGCAGTACAATTATTTTTATGAATCATCCATGGTTTACTCGTAAAATTTTCCCCCTCCCTTTGCAGACCCACAAACATTTTGGAACTTTTTATTTTTATTTTCGTTTGAGTTTGAGCCATGAGACAACTCACACAGCATTTTCTATGCCAGCCACAAATGCCATTTCTGGAAAACCCATGAAAATGTCTATTAAACCTGAACTTTCCCTATACATTTTTCATAAGATTTGACCATGGGAAAAACAGGAGCCTGGATTTCAAAATTCTGTGAAATGCAGGGCCAAGGATCACACAGCTATTTGACTCAATGCTGGGTAACTAGATTAAATTCTGTAGACTATGTTACACAGGGGGTCAGAGTAGATGCTTAAATTGTTCTGTCTGGCCTTACTCCTATGAACAAGCTCTAGTTCTGGCCCACTGCCATTCTGACAAAGGGAGAAAAAGAAGGCTATTATATAAGATTTCAGTGGCTCACAAATGTATTAGCACATGATCAAGTACTCAGGGAAGGGTGCCTTAGAAATTATAATAAACCAACAATGGGGCACACCTGACACTGGTGGTCCTAGGACCCAGAGTCTAACTAGATCTAAAAAAAACCATGCAAAAAAATATTCACGAATAATTTCTCAAAAATGTTTTCCATTTTCTGACCAGGAGAGAATCAGCAGAGTGCCACATTTTTTAAACTAAGTATTTGCATAGTGGACACTAGGGCTATGGCAAGCCCTCCAATAGGAGGGGGGTAAAAGGTAAATGGGGCAGTTGCCCCAAGATCCAGCAATGCAAAGGGACCCGGAAAACCAAGCGGCTGCTGTTTTAAATCACTGCCAGAGTGTCGCATTGTGCATTCCATGAGGCTCTGAGTGTTGTGGGAGGTGGGACACACTGTGCTCCAGGCAGTGTGGTGGTCTAGCTGCCCCAGCCCAGTTCATTCTGCCCAAAACCCCATCCCTTCTGGGAGTGTGGAGCTGACCCTCCCCCCAACTTTCCCAGGGGCCCATGGAGGCTGTTGGTTCCCCTGACCTAGGGTCTTGGGTGCCTGCCTTGCATTGACTTAATGACTTCACATCTATGGGGAGGCCATATTTTGTTAACCAGGCTTCCTCTGGGAGATCAGCTCTGGTCTGCTTTGAAGAACTTGATCTTGTAGGACAGAGGGAGTTCATTAGTGGAGAAGCACTCCTAAATACCACAGCAAGAAATAACAATTACAATTAGACAGTTACAAACTATGTTCTGTTTTCCTTAATGAAACTTAGGGTTATCATTTACCAGAAGTATGCTAGATATCTCTCTAGCTTCTGAATTAGTAAATATATCACTGTTAAGGCTTAGCCCATGTGATTACAGGCTTTACAGCACCAAAGGTTGTTCATGACAACATAACACATAACAGTTATGTGCAGAAAAACTGACACTTTTATGTGTTTAAGAATTGGACCGATAGTTTCAAAAGTGAACATTTCAGATTTTGCCAAAAAGCAGAGGGGAAAAAAGTCAAATATTTTGCAAAATGCTTCTCCTCCCATTCTTTTTTTTAGGACTTGCAATAGCAAAAATGTAATAGAAAACATTCAGCTAAATTTATAGACTAATCTAAGACCTGATCTACACTATAGACTCAGGCCAGGTCTACACAAAGGAGTAAGGTCAAATCAAGATACTCAACTCCAGCTAAGTTAATTACATAGCTGGATTCGACATACTTTGATTTGAATTTCCCTTCCCTCCTCACAGTGAGAGGCCAATAGGAGCAAATGCTCTCATCAGTTTCCCTTACTCCTCACAGGAGCAGGCATACTGGATGTCATGGGGGGACTCTCTGAGATCAATTTAGCGGGTCTTAAGTAGACCTGCTAAATCAAACTCTGGAAAATAGATTACAGCAATGTCAAATATCCCTGGAGTGTAGATATGGCCTTATGTTGGGATAATTATGTCGCTCAGAGGTATGGAAAAGCTACACTCCTGAGCAATGCATTTGTCCTGTCTGAACTCTCAGTGTACACAGTGCAATATTGATGTGAGAGTTTCTCCTGTTGACATAGTTACCTGTACCATCTCTCATGGAGGTGCGGTGTCTATACTGATTACAGAAGCTCTCCCATTGCCATAGGTAACATCTTCACTAGGTGTTACAATATTGCAGCTCTGTCAGTGTGGATAGGTCCAAAGTGATCTTAGGAAACTTCAGAGGCCAACAATCTAAGTTCCCTCTAAGTTGTGTATCTTCCCATTAAGCTCCATGCAGGGGTGAAGGGCTGCAGTCGGGAGTGATCTCTCCCCAAGCCTTAAAACTGCTAGGGACAGTAGGAGGCACCTCTTGTCGCCGGTCCCAGCTCTGAGTTGTCAAGACCAGTGGAAGGACGCCCTCCCCACCAACCCCAGCACCACCAAGTTACCATGGTTAGGGAAAAGGGACACCTCCTCATCTGCCCCAAACAGGGAGCCACTCGGATATGCCCAAGCCCCAACCTTCTCCTCAACCCTCAGCAACCTCCTTAACCCCAAATTCCTCATCACCAGCTCCACCCAAAAGTACATGCCCCAAGCCCAGAACCTATACCTTCTTCTGCACCCCAACTACCAGCCCTGAGCCCCCTCCCACACTTGGCCCTTGGCCCTACTCCCACCACATGAATTTTGTTAAGTGCACCAATATGGAGGTGATGTGTTGCACATCACCTTGACATTGGTACACATAAGAAAATTCATCCTGCTCCGGAGTGGAAAAAATTAGAGGGAACACTGCTGTTCCCTGTCGTGTGAACATTATGCCACATAAACTCCCTCTAAACTTTAGTAGACTTTCTTAGATTCATAGGCCAAATTCAGAGAGATTTTGCTTCAGGGAGATCTGCTCATAGCAGTAAGTTAGAGTTTTGCTATGTTGAACTTTTTTAACATTACACGTACCCATACTCACAAGGTACATCTACACAGCAGGCCAAGAGTCAAATTAAGCTACGCAATTTGAGCTACGTCAATTGCATAGCTGAAGTCAAAATAGCTTAATTTGGCATTTGGCGCTGTCTATACCTCAGGAAGTCTGAGAAGGAGCACTCTTCTTCCAACTTCCCTTACTGTTCATAAAATAAGAGTTCCAGGAGTCAGAAAGGTTACAAAGTCCTCCAGCTTGCCATTGCTTAGAAATGATGGCTTGCAGTATAGACACGCTTTGTTATTTTGGAATAATGTCTGAAAAACAATGCTTTGTAGACATAGCCACAATCTCTTAAGTCTATCTCTAGACTACCAGCTTCTTTCAGAAGTTTTTTTCAGAAGAGATCTTCTGAAAAAACTTCGTCCAAAAGAGAGTGTCCACACTGCAAAAGTGCATTGAAAAAGTGATCTGCTTTTTCAAAAGAGAGCAACCAGGCTGAAAGGACACTCTCTTGCATGTAAGCTGTGATTGCTACGGATGGAATGGCCACCGGGGCACCTGTGCTTTTTCCTCTTTCCTCTTCTTCTGAAAGAACTCCCTCTTCCCCGTTCACACATGCCTTTTTGCGAAAGAGCTCTTTTACAAAAAGACTTCATCATAGAATGAGAATTACCAATGCCAGAAAAACCCCTGTTTTTTCAGTGTTCTTGCAGGAGAATGCAATTGCAGCGTGGATGTTCTTCAAGTTTTGTCAGAAAAAAGGTCATTTTTCTGACAAAACTCTGTAGTGTTGACATAACCTGAGTGACTTTTGTTACATGCTCAGAGGTCAAAAATAGCTCCTACCCTACTTTAATTTATACCTTCTACTGTCCCCTCAGTGTGTAAGTTACACTGACTCACATTCCCTAACCATCAGTACAGTGAGTAGATGTAGCCCAAAGGGAATCTAAAGGGACAGAAACTTGGTTAAATTAAAACAAAGTTTGCTAATACCACTGCTCAATTTGTATCTCTTTTTAAAGGTTTTGTTTCTCTTGTAGGAATTCAAGTGTACATCGGGCAATACCTGGAACCCATAAATGTCCTAGCCTTGCCTCTCCATTCACAAGGTATTTTTGTGTTAAGTGCTGTTCACTTCAAAAGTCAAGACTGTGGCTAACTTTTTTTGTACCACTTCTAAGCTAGCAAAGAAATCTATGTTTTAATATTAGTTCTTCTCTGTGTTTTTTCTAATAAGAGAATGATTCTACTTAATTTTGTTTGGGGGCCTCAAAACTCTCCTCTTTGGGTATGTCTAGACTACATGGCTCCATCGACGGAGCCATGTAAATTAGTTCATTTGGCATAGTCAAAGCAGCGGAGATTTAAATAATCCCCGCTTCATAAAAATAAACATCCGACACAGCGCAGCAGTCTAGATGCGGATCTGTCGGCTCAGGGAGCCTTTGCCGACTGATCCCTTATGCCTCATGAAACAAGGTTTACAGCATTATAATGGTCTTATTATGGTGTTATCCTCGAACAACTGTATTCATTTCAACATTAAATGTAGAGAGCATTATGAGCTTTCATGGGCATAACCCACTTCTTCAGCCCTTGTTCCATTCATCTGAAGAAGTGGGTTTTCCCAAAAAAGTTACTGATAACATCTACATTTTTTGTTAGTCTCTAAGGTGCTGCAGGTCTATTAATTGTTTTTTATTTATTTTCAGGTACAGTCTAACATGGCTACCCCTCTGAGACATTTCAACAATGTTACACTGAGGTACAACTGGATTAATGCAGTTCCTGATTTACCTCTTGATTATTTTAATGTAAATCAGAAGTAATCTCTTTGATGTCAAGAGAGTTCCTCCACTGTATTCTGATGAGAGGGGAGGGAATGGGATTGAATGCAGTTACATCAGTGTAAGTGACAAGAAAATCAGATTCACAAGGTATTGCTATTTTCACAACTCTGATTATTATTCAATAAATAAGGGTCTCTGCCAACGCACATCAGAATCAATGGATAAACTAACTTCACTGTACTTTGGATCAAGTTCCTACCTACTTAAATCCATGTGGGTGGGTGTACATGAACGTTCAGTACAAACAACACATTTTAAAAGCTCCAGGAAATAAGAGAAATGGGGATTTTTTTTCAGGTTCTACTGTAGCAATCTTTCTTCTTGCAGAGTTTTACCATTAGATCTGTCATAGGCCATTTTCAGCTCATTAGGTGGTATTTCTGCAATTTCTGCAGACAGTAGGAGGTATTGAGCAGTTACAATTGGGAAGGTCAGACAGTGAGAGCAAAGAAATCATCCCTCATCCCTTCCAAACAAAAATTCTTGAATAACTTTTAACTGCCCTCAGCAGCTTTCAGTGGGCATATTCACTTTTGCCAACTTCCATTAACCCTTGAAGTTCACAATTGGAAGTTGTTTGGATGCAGACATGTAAATTATTAAGTCAAGTAGTCATTTCTCTCAGTTTTGAAACTAAACACACATCAAGCTGAAGTGAGGGGAAAGGTTCTATTCAAAGAACCTAAGTACTAAGGCTGAAACATGTACTCCAGTAAAACCCCAAGTTAACATTGATGAACACATTTCATTTACTTGTACACCTGAATACCTACTCATTGGGGCAAGGGCCATCTTTGTGCTCTGTGTTTGTACATTGACTAACACAGTGAGGTACTGGCCCATAACTAGGTTTCCTACTTACTGCAATAATAAAAAAAAATCTTATAAATAATAAATAATATTCACATACATATTTACACAATTGGTCCTTAATAGTGCAACATTACCCAAACATGTTTTACTCCATTGATTTCAACAGACAGCTTGTTGCAGACAGCAAAGCACATTTCATAAGTATGTCCAGGATCAGCATCTTTTTTGGTATAAACTTTTGTTATTGCAAACAATGGATTAATTTTGCTGGTGTAAATCAGCATAGTTACGGGCCTGTGCCATTTTCCTTAATCTGGCTCAGGGGATTTTGTGCCTGTACTCACTACACCAATGATTGAAAGGAGGTTTTACCAAAAACAGAAAAATGCTCCCAATTTGCTATACTTTCTTCTACTTTGCTATTTCTTTAAAAGCTATTTCATGAAGATTTAATGTCTATGAGAAAGTTCTATTGGTATCAGTGCACTGAAAGCATTGTCTCTGTTTTTAGGTCTTTTCTACATGGAGAAATTGACTGGAATGTATATTGCAGAGTTAACTATTCTGGAGTAGTTATTTCAGAGTGGATCCCAATGTGGACACTAAGCTGCAATAAGTGACTTTATTCAGGAGTCAAATGAATAAGTGATAATTTCATCTTTCATTTTTGAAGAAAACATAAGTTTCAAGCTCCCACAACTGTGGAGAAAGATTTAAAATAGACATAGTCCGTGCAAAAGGCTCAGAAAGCAGAAGGCAAATAAAAAGGAGAGCAAAACTATTCTTTTTACAGAATCTCATGATTTTAAAGCCAATCTCATACTTTTTAAAATTTTATTTATTTATTTAGGTAGACAGGAGTCATGATTTTTGACCATTTGGGGCTGGCAATACTGAGTTTATTTTACTGTAGCTATTCCCACATATATAGAAGGCTTTAAACTATTAACATCAATCTCCTCAAACATGGAATTTTTCCACAATAATTACACCCACCTGAGGCTCAGGGCGGGCAAGATTTAATCCTACAACAAAAACAGCTTTTCTATGCATAAAATGTCATGCATTTTGAATCTTTTACATTTCAATTCCCAGCAGAACTAGGAAAAGGAGCTTTATACAACTGGAACAGGGACAGCCCCAGTTAAGGGTCCTGCAGTTGTAGCTTATTGTAAATAGTCTTAACATATCAAACTTTAAAATGATTAGCTTGTATGTAGAGCAAAATCTACCCAGAATTTTTTTAAATAATTTTTCTGCATTTTTATTGTTTGTCTCATGGGGTATGTCTATACTGCATGGCTATTTCGGGATACTGAAAGTATCCCAAAATAGCTACTCCACATCTACACAAGCCCCCCATTATTTCAAAATATTCTTCAAAATAACGGGGGCACTATTTCAACATCCCAGTAAACCTCCTTGCACGAGGGTTAAGGGATGGCTTAAAATAGGACGTTATTTCGAAATTTGGCACTGTGTAGATGCGCCAAATTTTAAAATGGGCTATTTTGAAATAGATTCAAAATAAGATACACAGTTTGTGTAGCACAAACTGCGTATCTTATTTCGAGTTTAGGGTGCCGTGTAGACACATGCATGGTAACTAAAGCATCTGAATTTATAGACATACAACAATACTTAAACTCAAAAATAATACTAATAATTTCCCAGTAATGTGTGGCATTTGCAAAGTGGATGATGATTTTCTGTAGTGTAATTACTTGCTCAGTACTAACTTTGGATAATGTGCACAACTCATTCTTGAGATTTTATATTGTCTTTTGTTTCTGACTGCTGTCAAAGACAGGACATTGGATGAATTAGACCATAGGTCAGATCCAGTATGGCAATTCCTGGTTTCCTATCATACGACAGCTCCTGCATTACAGCAGTACAACTGGACCTGTAACAACTTTCTTCAGAGAGGAAATCTGGTTCAGTGGTTGGGGGAGGAGAGCGAGAGGTTAACCTAGACTTGGGAGTTCAATTCCTTTTTCCACTGCAATCTTCATGTGTTACCTTGGCCAGGTCATTGAGGGTAGTATGTCTTCAGCGCAATCAGATATGTGACTACAGAAAATGTAGACGTTACAAATAACTTGAATAACAAGCAGTATAATTGTGGCTGTACAAGCCTTCTTGGGTATACCCTTGAGGGCTAGACCATGCTGTCATGGCTTCACTGAGACATGCCCTTAAGAGTGTCTGCTCTGCCCTGCTGCTTGTACTACAGGGGTGTGAATGTCACTGCACATCAAAGTACTGTGCTGTAATAACTCCTCCATGTGGAATCTGTGGGCATGCACTGAAAGATTCTGACCTCACATTAGCATAGGCTTCTTTGAGGAGAACCATAGCAATGGGAGCTAAGAACCTTTTAGTTCACTTCCATGTTGGAAAGATTCAGCACAGCACTTTGGTGTGTGCTGCTATTCATGCTCCCCTAATACAAACTGTGGAGCAAGGTAGACATGTCCTACGTCTATATGCCTCATTCCCCCCATCTGTAAAATGGGGCTGATAGGTTTTCCCTGCCTCACTGGGGTGCATTGTGGATAAACAAGTTAGAATGAAACCCTCAGATACTACTGGGATGGGGGAGCTTAGGTGAGTTACAAAAAAGGAACAAAAATATAAACCACATGTTGCTAGACAGCAAAGAAGAGAACTTCAGTGCCAAAACCAGGTCTCTAATATTTGAGCTAAAGGACAATTCCTTTGTCTGGCCCCAGAAGCAGGGCTTGGGTTTTTTTAATCTTCTCTGACAGCCAGCTGTTAAGAGGTAGCATCATGGCAACAAACACATGCATGTGCACATCAACTCCATTAGTGCCATTGTATAAAGTTCAGGAGCAAAGCCAGCATACATGGCTTCAGCATATAGTTATGCCAAACTCAACAAATTAACATTTTTTTTACTCAAAACTTTATCATCTAGAAGACTTGGTACTAATTATACCAAATGTAATGGATGATTAAAAAATGCATTCTTTCCATTATTTTAGTTCCCACTTCAGGCAAAACATGTCTGAACTAAAATGTTTTTGTTGCGTAATGTAACAAATACTTTCATTGTTTGAGGAACGTAATTAAAACCAGATAAAAATCAAGAAAACATTTCTTGCATTCTTTCAAAAATGTGCCTGCAATTGTGGGCTGAAAAGGAGCTGTCTTTCTGTTTGTTAAAGAAGGATAAAGATGTATTGTGCAGGCTTATCTCTATCTGCCCCTTCTGTCATACAATCCTGTTAAAAACGGGGATGCCAAATCAGGTTAAGGCCTTTCCAACAAAACCTCACTAGCTTACACATGGTACAGCCAGTTGGCTCATTTTTATGATTTCCTGGTACATAGTAGAAGCATGTACCAATAAACTGCAGTAGAGATCATGCATTTTCAGTGCGAAAATATCATGCTGAAGGAATGGGGAAAGAAGACTGCAGGAAGATTTGCCCCTTATGGCAGTCACCTGAATAAGAGATTATTGAATCCTAGGGTTGAAAGAGACCTAAGGAGATCATCGAGTCCAGCCCCCTTCCCAAAGCAGGATCAACCCTAACTAAATCATCCCCGCCAGGGCTTTGTCAAGCCGAGACTTAAAAAAACTCTAGGGATGGAGATTCTACCACCTCCCTAGGTAACCCTTTCCAATGTTTCACCATCCTTCTAGTGAAATAGTTTTTTCCAAATATCCAACCTAGACCTCCCCCACTGTAACTTGAGACCATTGTCCTTGTTCCGCCATCTACTGAAAACAACCTCTCTCTATCCTCTTTGGAACCTCCCTTTAGGTAGTTGAAGGCTGCTATCAAATTCCCCCTCATTCTCCTCTTCTGTGGACTAAACAAGCCCAAATCCCTCAGCCTCTCCTTCTATGTCATGTATCCAGCCTCCTAATCATTTTGGTTGCCCTCTGCTGGACTTTCTCCAATGCATCCACATCCTTTCTGTAATGAGGGTCCCATAATTGGACGTAATACTCCAGATGTGGCCTCACCAGTGCTGAATGAAGGGGAATAATCACTTCTCTAGATCTACTGGCAATGCTCCTCCTAATGCACCCTAATATGCCATTAGCCTTCTTGGCTACAAGGGCACTGTTGACCCATATCCAGCTT